TGACGTTCAGCTCCAGGAGTCTGAATCTGCAGCAGCTCGGTGGATTTCAACCGTCACTGCCTTCATTATTTACTCCTGAGCTAACTGCGGCCTGTTAGCATCAGCTGCTGTTTCTGAGGTTGATCTCGTCCTCCTCCGTCCTGCAGGTCGAACGCCAGCCGAGCGTCCGTCCTGTTGCTCTCTTCCTCTGCTGCAGTGTTCTATCTTTCCGAATGAAGATCAATGGGGAGGCGCTGCCCGGAATGACAATGACCGGCGCAGAGCGGCGCCACTAGAGGGGGATGATGATGAAGCAGGGCTCGCTGCAGCAGCGCCGGGCCTGTGGAGGCTGCAGATCAGGGCCGGCGGGCCTCCTGACAGATCCGGGGTCAGCGTGGCGCCTCCTCGGAGGGCCGGGCTGCAGCGGCGAGGTGCAGCCATGCAGAGGGAGACGGCGCCGAGCTGACACTGGACATTATCGCATGTCAGGGTGGCGCTGCTCGACATGCAGTCCCTGCTGAGTACGTCAGAGCTGCTGACCGGCAGCAAAGCCCGGCAGGAAGCACCGATGTGGGGGAGAGGAGCCGTCTGGTCACCTCAACGGAAATAATACCAACAGTCTGATTTAAAAATATGATCATGAAAGATGTAACTCAACCAAAACCAGCCTGAATCCGGCTGCTGCTGGGACCAGTCCATGGATCAGTCTGGAAGAGTTCTGTCTGATAAATAAGAGTTCATGAACGTGAGCCCCCAGATCATTCATCCTAACGTCATGTGTAGATCTATAGTGTTCTTTTATTTCAGGAACACATTCTTCTGTGTGGAAATGACCAGATACAGTCACTGTGTTAGAGATGTGAATGAGGAATTTAACTACCACAAGCGTTTATCTGGTTCCAGATGTTCCTGCTCGTTTCTAGAACGTTCTAATCCCCAAAATACTGAGAACAGCTGGTGTGGTTCTTCTCTAGTCCCGAAAAAAAGCCCCAAATGTTCATCCTCGTGACAAACTTTGATTTATAGTCGATGTTTATGTGACCAGCAGCAAATGACGTAAACAAGAGACTCAACTCCATCAAACACGACTGCAGAGATGTCAGTGAGGAATTTAACTGTTTGTTTGTCAGTTTTGATCAAATGCAGCTTCTATCTGATTCCAGATGTTCCTGCTGGTTCCACCATGTTCTATCACGCACTGATCCACTATATAAGTAGAACAGCTGATGCAGTAGATCTCTAGTCGGTTCCTAGTCAGCTCCAAGTCGTGGTGACAGCTCAGAGCCCAGGTAGCTGCTGTTGGGGTCCATCCCTGAGAGAGAGCTGCATGTTGCTGCTGCTCACAAGACGGTTAAAGCCGATAAAGTCACATCAAGAGTTTTCCAGGTCCAGCGTTCACAGATGAAGCTTCATGAAGAAGTCCAAGGAGTTCCTCACTGAGGAACATGTCAAAGGGCTGCAGGAGGACAGACGTGAGCCCAATGAGGAGATGTTGGAGCGGCCCAGCCAGAGTCCAGACCTGAATCCATCCAGAACCTGTGGAGGAACCCAAGAGCAGAGTGATGGAGAGGAAGCCTTCAAGCTCCAGGAGCTGCAGATGGACACTTGGAGGAACCAAATCCCAGAAACGCTGTTGGACACTAGAACAGCTGATGTGGAGCAAAATAAAGCCTCTGATGAGTGAAGAAGAGAACGAAGACGTTTGGATGGAGACATCATGAACATCTCAAACACAACGTCTGAGTTTAGTCTCTGGTTCATGTCGTTTACAGCCAGAAGGAACCTGCTGGTTAAATAAGAATCACTATAAATCTGTATTTAGCATGAAGAGGAGTCATTTTAGAGCTTTGTTGGGACATGAACTGACCAGTAACTGACTAGAGAACTACTGCATCAGCTGTTCTACCTTTATTGTGGATCAGAACGTGATAGAACGTGGTGGAACCAGCAGAAAGTTTTTAATTGTAAACAATTTCAAGGGTATTTATAATTCTTAACAGTAAAATCTTTTTTTAAAACTAAACAAAAAACATCTAAGAAGCTAAAGTCGATCCTTTTAATCTCTAACATGAAGCATTTCTGTGTTTTGTTTCATTTCCAGCCAGAAAATCGATTTAAAATTCTCCATAAATAAAGATTTGACTCGTGAATGAATAATTTTGGGGCTTAAATGTGCAAAACGGTGAACATCAGGTTCTTCTTTACTCTTATCGTCACGTTTTTCTCTCAGATTCAGACGTCTGCAGAAGCAACAACAACTAACACAACAAGTAGAGCAGCTGTTGGACTGATGTGGAGGACGAAGCCGTTTGGACGTTAATGTAGGAAAAATGTATTTAAGTTTTTAGGTTTATCATCATCTTCTGTCTCTTTGTGTCGTTTCCAGGCAGAAGAAACCTGCTGGTCCAATGAAAACTCACGATTAATGTAAATGTGTTGAGTTTGTGAATAACTGTGATCCTACGTATGATTTAAAACAACCAGAATTTCATTTGTCCAATCTGGTTTAATCACAAATCAAATCTAGTTAGTTTTCTGTGAAACGGCGCCATCGTCTGGACATTGAGGTGTAACTGCAGGTGTCAGGTGTGCTGTGTGGATGTGAGCAGAGGCACAGACAAGAGAAGCAGTCGTGTAAATTCAGTTTTTAATCAACATTTGAAAACAAATTGGACAAATGAAAGACTGCTTCTGCTTTTTTTTTTTCTTTTTTTAGAAACTAGAGGTGGTTTTTAAATCATTTAACAAATCACTTTTTTTCCAGAGAAAGAGAAAAAAAAATTAAATGACACTGAAAAAGCAGATTATTTCTTTTTTTTCCCCCCAGAAAGTAAAAGGAGTTACATCTCAAAAGTGTTATATCACTGACACGATCTCCCCGTCAGAGCCGCCTTGTGTTGGTTTTAGGTATCAAAGGAAAGTCGTGTGGTCCTCGGAGGGTGAAGGGCGGGAGAGGAAGGAGACGGGACGACCAACTCTAACCCCCAACAACACGTCGACAGGAACAAGAAAAACATCGTCTGTACTCTGCAGGGTTCCGTTTATTCGTTAAATTTCTACAAAAAAGGTTTCTGTGGACAAGCTACCGACTTAGCGAGATCTTTTTTGTTCTGGTTTCGCTCTGCAGGACAACATGAAGCCGTGGGTGTCAGTCACGTGTTTATTTGGTCGTGTCAAAGAGGTGAGACGTTGCACAAGGAAAGACAACCGGAGAAAGAAAAGAGAAGTGGCTGAAGTACAGGACACATGAACACACAGGTTAATGGAAAAGGAGGGCGGCGGGCCGAATTTCTCTCCACAGCCAATGGACGTGTACAGAACATTAAGGCTCGTTGGTAAAGGAGGAGACGACGAATCCTCTCCCAAGCTTTCTTAAAACCGAATTGGGGGCCTTTAAAAGTTACAGAAGGTAGAAAAAAAAAAAAGAAACGTTATTCTGCGGTATTACAGCTCGAATCGGTGAAGCTACACACAGTATCAGAACAATTACAGCTGACATTCAGATAGAGTCCGATCGGTCGGCCCGGGGGGGGGAGGGGGGGCAGCAGTCGGGAGAAACAGAAAGAAATCCAGAAAAAGCGAGGCGGCGGCGGCGGCGTCCCGTCTCTCTAAAGATGGAACCCAGGTGGTGTTACAGCTACGGAGTATCTACATTAGCACGGACACGCCCTCCATCTCCATCCTGCTGGAAACAGGCCCCCCTTCAATTAAATACAACCCCCTCCCTCCCCCAAAACAACACCCCCGTCTCACAAAGTATAAAAATGCTCCGCCCCCTGCCCCGCCCATTATTACACACATTTCTCAAAAACCCTCCGGCTCCGCTGCCCGCCCCAAACCGACCCGCCGCCCGCTTCCCGCCCTTCTGAGGCGTCGCAGATGGGCCGGAACCTGGGGGGTCCGGTTTAGAAGCAGGCAGCAAAACCCCGACCCCCACCCCACCCTCGTCGCTCCCACCCTCCCCCCCGTCCCACGTCTCTTCTCGGGGCTCCTCTACCAGAAGTCCCGGCGGTGGTAGGCGTCTGGATCGCAGTATTTGGTCACCACCACCCTGTTGGCGAACTTCCGCCCCGTCAGCCCCTGCATGGCCTTCTGGGAGTCGAACACGGACGTGAACTCCACGAAGATCTGTGGAGAAGTTTAAGACTCAGGTTAGAGCCTCGTTTAATAAAATCATCCCCAAAGTCTTTATAGGTTCTCACTAACAAACGGTGTCATTTGGGTGGTTCTGTGAAGTCGACATGTCGTTAAAACCCCTCAGAAGGTTTTAAGGTTCAGAGGTTTCACACTAATCAACATCTGGACTTCCTGAACCGGCCCCTACCTTGCCAGTCCCTGGTACTTCCAGGCCGTCCACGGGCCGCGGGATCTCGATGCTCTTGACCTGGCCGTACTTGCTGCACTCGTCCCGGACGTCCTCCACGATCTCCTCGTACTCCTCATCGTCCAGCAGCTCTTCGGGGGCCACCATGTTCATCAGACACAGCACCTCGGTGGGCAGGCCTCCCATCTGGGTGACGGAGCTGTTCAGGCCCGGGACCTGCAGCGTCACCGGGGTCTGGTTTATACTGGTCTGGAGGGGGAAAGCGGAGGTCAGACTGGGGATAGTGGAGGGTTACGTCTACAGAGGCATTTGGTGAAGAGCTTATCGGCTGAAACACTGTCATGTTTGACATTCTCATGTACTGACGAGGACCTTTACCCGGTTCTGAGTTCCACAGAGCGCCAGTAAAACTGAAGGAATTAGCTTTTTACAGCTTTTATTATCAGATTTTATATCCTGCTGCACTGTATTTATTCTAATGTATTGATATTGTTTGTTTCTTGCTGTAACTAAAGACTACTTCTGTTTTCTGGGTGAATCGATGCCGTTTGGTCCAGAAAACGTCAGAAAATGTCGACTAGAGTTTCCTTAAAACATCCAAAGATATTTAGTTTGTCGTCAAAGGAGGAAAGAAACCAGAAAAAACTCACATTAAACCCTCCTATTCAATGTCTAACATCTCGAAATAAGTCCTTGACATAATTATTTCAGTTTTATTTAAAGGGCTATTTACACATGAACTTGGGCAACAACTTTATTCATGATAATTTTCTGGAGGTTTATATTGTTGGGGTCAAACTAAACCCAAGATGTCGATAAATCTGATGGCAACAGGAGCTGCGAGGAGATTTTACTCAAACAGATTGATTATAAAAATATCTGCCAATGAATTTAAAAGTGAATTATTTAATCATTGCAGCTCTACTTGCTGAACATATTCCACCGTGTTCCTCTGAACCTGGTGTTCATTAACTTGCATTATATCTACTTTTATAACATCTGTTTCCTGTAATATCATAAAATATGTAGTTTAGCATCAAAAGTCGTTGTTGTTTCCTTTGATTTCCGTAATAAAAACGGGGTCAAGTTGTTTGCAGCAGTTGGAGAACCACGATGAGAACTCTAAACAGCTCATTCAGCGGGTTTAAATGTCAGACTGGTGGGTTTGAAGCTGAATGAATCGTGGAACCAAACACGGCGCCAACAGGGACGGTTTTCATAAACCGACGCCTAAAACGTGCTCCTGCTTTAACAGAACAACGACGCGCACTCGTTAACGGTTAGAAAGCAGCACCGACTGCTGCTGCAGATCTGATCTGTGGCTCCCTGTCCGGCCTCCCACCTCCCTGGACGCTCACCAGAGTGGCGTTCTTGGATCCCACGCTGGCTCTCTGCACCAGGAGCTTCTTGTCTCCCAGCTGCATGCCGTTCAGTCCAGCGATAGCCTGCCAGGACATCCAGGTTTTAAAAAAAACATATCGAGCTTTGGAACACTTTCTAAACTCTTCATTCTCCGCTGGGCTGCTCACCTGGTCGTTGAGGTTGACGTCAACGTATTCACAGAAGGCGTATCCTTTGGAGAGGCCGGTGGCGCTGTCCTTCACCAGGTTGAAGGCCTTCAGAGGGCCGAACGACGTCAGCAGCTCCTTCACCTGCAGCACAGCAAGAGTCACCCAGAGTTCAGTTCGCTCCAAAGTTCTACACCGACAAACGCAGCTCAGGGTTTACCAGCGGTACCGAACACGAGCAATGACTCTCCTCATAGATAAATATGTGCACAAAGACTTAGATTTAAAAACAAAAAAAATAAGTAGAATCTACACATATTCTTATCAAAACTATCACGTGTGTGTGTGTGTGTGTGTGTGTGTGTGTGTGGTTTGTTGATGCGTTTTCACTTTTTCGCTTCACAACACGCTAACGATGAGCATCTCGACGCCTTGTTTACTCTCTGACGGTCGCTTCTGTGAGTTTAGGATGCTCTGATCATTTATGTAGATTAAAAAAAATGCAATGATGCAGCCGTGATTGGTGTAAAACACGTTTGTCTGCGATCTCCTTCACCAAAACAGGAAAAGGTTGTAGCTGGCATTAGATAAATACGTGCGTGAAGTTACTGCATTAACTGTTTTTTTCAAGTCTTGGTGAATAAAAGTGCTTCTGCTGTTTGGAAATTAATTCAGTTGCAGGTAATATTTAAAGTACAGACGGCTGAAGTGATCCATAAATGCCTTTAAGCTTCAGTGCTGCTGAAATGTTTTAAAAATTACCAAAACCTGAGTCATACAGCGAGGTGTGGCTCAACAAACACAAGGCAGAACCCTGTGGGGCTCCGCTAATGCACAGTTAGAGCTATAGTTTAATAAAAGCCGCAGGCCGGCTGGGAGACACTGACCTGGTCATCGTTCAGGTAGTTGGGCAAACCGCCGATGAAGAGCTTGTGAGCCGAGTCGGGCACCACCGTGGACACCACGCCTGCACCAAGACAAAGGGAGAGAAACATGAAGCGGGAAGCGGGCAGCCAGCGTCGGGATAATTTGGTGATTATTGATGAATTATGCCACAAGTACAGAGAGTTAAAAACCATTAATTGTCTGTGTACCAGGCACATAGACACTGGGGTTCTCGCTCATGCCGGGCAGCGGCTGGTAGTCGTGGGGACGGCGGATCTTCAGGCTCTGGCCCTGAAAGATGATGCCGTCGAAGGCCATGGCCTGTGTGGTTTCATCCACTGAACGGAACTGGACAGAAACAATTCAATTCAGAATTTCATTAAGGGTTCGTGAATGTGCTCGGGGAGAACAGGTGACGCCGTTTTCTAACCTCGAGGAAGGCAAAGTTCTTGTCCTGGTTGATCTGTACTGCGAGGACAGGATTTCCAGGGGCCTGAGTTAGACCACCCAAACGCATCTGGGCATTGAAGAAGTCCATCATTGACTCCTACGCAGCGGGGACGGAGAAGACACTCGTTAACACAGACGTGAAGCAGACGTGTGAATTACACCGAGACGTTCACAGCCTCGGACCAAGAGCCAAACGCTCCGTTTCTCACCTCTGTGATACCAAAGGGGATGTTGCCCACGTAGAGGCGGCGGGCCTGCCGGGTCATCTGGCTGCCCACGACTGGTACAGGTGTGGGAGTAACGGCCAGGCCATCTGGAGTCATGGTCGGCAGGAGGGCTGTGGCTGGGATCTGGCCTGCAGCTGGAGGGGAAGCACAGGGAACATCCGACGAGCTAATTAGATTCTTTATCCAACCACACTGCAAAATCAGCTCAGACCTTGGGTTGGAGAAGCTTTTAAAAATGGCACATTTCACCAAAATCGCTTTTCGCACGTCTCATTTTTAAAAACAAAAGTGTGCACCAGATTTCGTAAAAAAAAACTAAAAATCCTGAAAACCAAAGCACAGCTGAGGAACCACAACCAACTCAGCTGTGATCAACAGTTTCGAGACCAAAATAAAAAGATTTCTTATTTCCTGATAGGAAAATAAAACCTACTGGATCAATAAATAAAGGCAGCATGGATCAGAACCAGTGAACAGAGGAGCCAGCAGAGTTTTTTTTTTTTTGGATGCTTGTTGATTCCATTTTTTTTAAATTTATGTAAAACAAATAGTCACAGAAACTCTGCTTTCTCCCTGATTTCTGTCATTCTAACCGATTCTCTCCATCTTCTTGTTCTTCTGTTTTCACAGAGATGCAAAGACTTCAGTAAAGCAATCAAGCACCAATAACAAGACAAACTCTAACCTTGCATGGCTTTGTACTGCATGGGAGTGATGTGTTCAAAACCCGGCGGCGGGACGTCCCAGTACTTCTTCACCTTCTTCTTCTTCTCGCGGTGGGGGGAGCGGCTGTTGGAGGAACAGAGAACAGGTGAAATGAAACCACCTGTCGACACGCAGACATCACTCATCAGCTCAGCACTGGGCTACTAGAGCAGCTGCACTGTCACAAACACACTTGAAAAGCTACTGACTTTGGAGGAGGCATTGCAAAACTGATGGTAAAAAGGGAGCAGAAGGGATGGAGGAGCCCCATACAGGCAGTTACTACACAATCAGTAAACAGTACAAAGAATCAGAGGCAGGTCATTAAATTGCAGTTGTGGCAGATTTGCACAAACCAGCTTTGTGTTAGTTTGCTGTATTACCTTCCAGCATTGTCCTGGGGGTAGCTGGATGGTGAGCTGAAATGACATTGGAAGGGTTTCACATTTCTCTCCAGTAAATCATCACAGTAACATTTTTAGTTCACAAAATTAAATTTCGCCGACCTTGTGCCGAGCACCACGAAACTGATCGGGAGCTTTTGGAGGCGTGCGTGACTCTGAAAGCGAGTCGTTCGGACATGCGGGAGTCTTTTTGTGAACGAGTAGCGGTGCATTGAAAGCAGAAATTACATCCTGAAACACAGAGCAGCTGCAGAGGGGAGGGGGTCAGACTGTTTACATCCTCGGACCGAGTGTTCACGCCGCGTACCGGCAGCTAGCACGTTTTAAATTAGCACCGAGAGGCCAAGAGCAACGGTCGACCCGGAGGTCACGCTCACAGCCGAGATGCAGCTTTACACATCCAACAGAAGAATGCACCGAAGCTGAAGGGACGCGAGGCTTCAGATGGAAAACACGATTCACTGGAGTTTTCTACACATCATCCTCACTGCTTCTAATGAAGACCACAAACACGTCCAGGTGTTGGAAGGAGGCCGGCTTGTCCGTCTACAGCTCTCCCCTTCGTGGACTTCTATCAAACAATGCCGCTCGGGTTCATCGTGACACACATTTCATGTGACAGCGAGTTTCAAAGGCGTCTAAAATTACGCAACAGCAGAACGAATATGAAAAGAATCTAAATTTAAGCAACTCTCCTCGCAGGAGTTCTATTAATAACAGCCGGAGTGGTTTTTGACTCAAAAAACGGACCTGAAGTTCTCCATAAAACCACTAAAGTCTTGATATTTTCAGTTGAATCGTCCAGGATGTGAAAGCGGAGGCAGCAGCTGTTGCTTTGTGTGCTCTAAAGACTGACCCCTGAGCTGAAAGCGGAATGACTACACGTGATGAGCACCTGGGACACAAAGGTTTAAGGCAAGACAACACAAAAACAACATCAGCAAAAACATGACAAACTTATATTACTCAACACAATGTTTCACAAGACAAATTGCAGTGGCCTGAATCATTAAGCTCTGAACAAATCAACATGAATCTAAAATTACACTTGACAGAAACACCTTCCTGCAGACAGATGTCGAGCTGAGTGGATTTGCCCAGAACCACATCGGATTCTGCTGCTAAGACGGGAAAACATCCCCGGTTTTAACCAGACGGAAAGAGAGCTCCTGCGTTTTTAAAAAAAAAATCAAAACAAATTGAGTTTCTGTGTCCTTTTTTTTTTTTTGGGGTGAATTTTTGCTCAAGTGAGGAATTTGCAGCCACCTACTGCACAGCAGGCCGGTCGCCAAGTCGAGGGTGGACATGCTGGACGCTGGTGTGTCCATAAAACTATGATTTAAAGTCCAAAACAAAGGTGTATGCATGCTTGTGTACATGTGTGTGACCCACGAGACAAAACTATTCCTACGTGAAGCAGCCCCGAAGAACAAAAAGCTGCTTCTGTGACGTAGTGAGCAGGTGAGGGTCCGTGTGATGCAGGTGTTCTCACAGCTCCCTGGTCCAGGTGGGGGCGGGTCCAGGTACTCACCTGCGTCTGTGTCTCCGCTCCTTACTGTCCCCTCGGCGGTCTCGGCTGCGTCTGTCCCGGTCTCTGCTCCTCCTTTTCCTCTCTCTGCTGCGGCTGCGGGAGGAGGACCGGCGGTGGTGGCGGTTCTCTTTGTCCCGCTCGGCTGCAGGGAAACGGTTCGTTAACTCACACAGCTGCACGTTAACGGAGCAAACGGTCAGAGGAGACGTTCTCAGAGCCGCCGTCTCACCGGCTCTGGTGGAACAACTGACTGCTGACAATCATTTTCAGAAAGTGGTGATAAATGTCAGTCAGTGTTTTGCCCGGAGGCATTTCTTTAACTGTCAAAGAGGAGAAAAGTCCAGAAATGTGTGTTCCACTCTGTCCCATCCTGCTAATCTTAATTATTCCATAATGTTTGAATCATGTATAAATTTAAGAAATAAATAAATAAAAATGCAAGTCTAACCTTTCAAATATTAGTATTTGCCGCTTTTCTGTTTATAAACCGTCGGAAATGAAGCCTCTTCAAAAACTTTGGGCTGCAGGAAACTGTAGTGACCAACGAACAGACTGATGCAAAACGCAGCCCACAGCGACTGACTACCGACTGCAGTCAGAGCTAAATGGTATTTTTACTGTCAAATTAGCTGCGGCTTATTTTCTGGATGAATCGATAAGCCGTCCGGTCTCTAAAACGTCTGAAAATGTGGATGAATGTTTCCTCAAATGTGTTGTTTTGTCCAAAGACATTTTGGAGAAAAGTCCAGAAATGCGTGTTCCACTTTGTCCTGTCCTGGTAATCTGAATTATTCTGCAATGCTTGAATTATGTATAAAAATTTTTTAAAAACAGCAAGTTTAACCTCTCAAATATCAGCTTTTCTGTTTATAAACCGTGGTAAATTACGCCTCTTCTGGTTGGAAAACTTTGGGCTACAGAAAACTGTAACGCCCAACAAACAGACTGATGCAAAACCCAGCCCACAGCGAGTAACTACCGACTGCAGTCAGAGCTAAATGGTATTTTTACTGTCAATGTATCTGTGGTTTATTTTCTGGATGAATCGATAAGCTGTCCGGTCTCTAAAACGTCTGAAAATGTGGATCAGTGTTTCCTCAAATGTCTGTTTTGTCCAAAGATATTCAGTTTAGTGTCACCGAGGAGGAAAGAAAACTGAAAGTATTTACATTAAGGAAGCTGCCATCAGAGACATTAGACTGATGAATCAGTGATTAAAACAGCTGGAGATTCATACGATAGCTGGGAACTAATTGACTAACTGCTGCAGCTTTATTCAACGCGTGGATTAATCGGCTAATCCTTTTTGCTCAAGACACTGATGCGTCTAACGGGGCTGCCATAAATTATTATCTTCATTGTCAAACATTTCATCAACTAATTGATTAGTTGTTTGGTCCATCAAATCTCGAAGGGCGTTTCTCTGAGCCACAGAGGATGTCCTTAAAGGTCTCGTCTGTCCACAACACGGACACATTCAGTTTAGTGTCATAAACATAAAACATCAATCTGCCAAAAACCGACGGTATAATTCTTACTAAAGCTGCATCGCCACATTTATAACGCCCACAGCTGCTTTTATCAAAATCAAACTGTGATAACGCCTAAATACAGAACGTTATGTCTCTGGAAACCGCAAAAGCATGTCGTTGTGAGACGTTAATAATTCTGGTAACAGAATATTTGAGGACAAAAAATGTGATTTAATCAATAAAGCTGACATTTAGGATGATTACAGGTAAAACTATAGTGTTTTTCCCCGATGCGTTTGGTCAGTCTAACATGCTTGTTTAGACTTTAACGTGATTCCCAGATTGATTTTATTGGTAAAATAAAGAAAGTATAGTATTTCTAATCATCCTAAGAGCTCTAACCTTTCAAATTCAGCATCACTGAAGAAGTTTTTCTGATGCGTTAACATTTCACTCACACTGACAGCGGCTGCAATTACTTTTTGGCAGATGGAAAACTGCATTATGGCCTTTCAACCCATGAAAACAACTGGATTGATGATAGTTTTGGGTGCAGTGCAGGTAAAATAACGCCGAGACATGAGGATAATTGCTCACAATCAGTTTCTGGTGTCCCACTGGCTGGCCAGCAGGAAGTCGGTGCCAAAATTAGGAAAATGGCACCAGAAATGTTTACTGTGCACAACAGCTGCAAGGAATGAATGCTAGCTGCCCCAATTATTCAGTCAGCTGGACCTGGCAGGAGCAAGGCTAAGAAACAGACGAGGGCCAGAGGATCTGGAGACACATCGAATGGAGATTTTTTATTTTTAAGTTGTGACTTGTGATATAGTTTTAAAAAAGATTTAATGTGCAATATTTGCATTTATTGTAAAATATTTACATCTTTGTTTAATATTTTAATTTAATGTGCAATATTTTATAATCGTGTGCAACATAACTATTTTGGTATTCTTGCCAGTAGCTCACTTTTCTGTTCCAGTTGAATTTCAGTTAATTTATTAATATTTTTACTAATAAACTGTACTATTGCTGTTCTACTAGACGCTGCATTTCTTCTTATCTTGTTATATTTTTCCCTTAGCAATATCTGGCCCGATAATTTCCTGCAGGATCTACTTTGTCTCATCTCATCTGGGGATAAAAGAGTGACGAGCAGCAGCTCGGCGCTGTTAACACTGGGGGCTAACAAGTTGCTTAGCGCTCCAGCAAATAGACACATCCACGGTTAGCTACATAGATGGCGGCGGTTCCCATAAAGAAAAAAACCGCCCTCTGCGTTTTAAAGTGCTGATGTTTCGTTTACCTTGTTTGTTTTCGGACAGCTGTCTCTCGAATTCGTCGAAGTCCGACATCTCTCGGTGGAGGGCTGCTATGCTCTCGGGGACTGCGTTGTTCAGTCGGCTAGCTGCTGCGGCTAGCAACAAAGTGAACTACACTTTTAAAAGCGCTCGCCGATGTAGCTCCGATGAGTTAGCTTCAACTAGCGGCCCGCTTACCGACACAATTAGCAAAAACTGCCGACCGGCGCACACGCAAGCGTCGCGGCGATTATTTACAGCGCGATAGCAGGGAGAATCGAAAAGAAAAGAAAACGTGTTCGCACGGGTTAGCCCGCTAATGCTGCTAACTAGCTAAAAGAATAGGCCCGCTGCTCCGGACAGTGTGGAGGCTCGTTAGCAGCTTAGCTAGCTAGCTAGCGAGTACAAACGAACGAATGAATGAGAGTCTTTCTCCGAGGCGAATGCGGATCCCGGCGGGTCGAAGGCCCTCTGGGTGCAGCTCTGTGGCGTTATAAGCCAAATGTGGACGCTTAAAGATGTTTCAAGGCGACGGAAAACAACACAGATGTCCGTGTGCCCGCTTTTTCTTTCCGTCTCCCAGATACCCCGTGACACCGGAAGTTGATGCACGGCAGGGTTCCGGGGAGGAGGAAGAAGATGGGCTGCAGGGTCACGCAGCAAATGTCATGTTTACGCCCTTTTACCTTATTTGTGATTCAACTGCCACCCAAGATGAATTATATCCCGGTCGGGATGTGTTGTCTGAAGTGGAATCACAGGTTTGTTTTGCAATTAAAGCTCCCAAATGATGAAAATCCATGTTTACTGTCAGTTCCTCTCAAAACCTTATAAAGCTGTGAAAATATGGAGAAACGTGCGACTGTACTACAAACTAGATAGCTCCCCAGCTTTACAAGCATGTAAAAATATATTGATTTATATTTTCTACACAGAAAACTGAAGAGTCAATATAGCAATATGGTATAATCCGTTTAGAGTTGCTTCTGCTGCTTTGCAAGCAAAGACCCAAACTCTGGACTTGGATATTTTTATATCTATGTCAATGTTATATCCTTTTATACCTATTTTTATGTTAAAGCAGAAAGGCCAGATAATATTTACACTTTTACCACAAGGACACACATGTGACTGCACCTTTAACTGGAGAAACTGCAAAACAAAGTGCTAAACCTACATTATCCATCAGTTTATATTATAGTTATATACAGTTGGTGGAACTATAGCATACAACAGAGATGTGTGCACCCCTTAAATATCAAATTGTTAAAAACTGTATTACCTCTCAGGAACCTAAATGTAGAGAATTTCCTCAAAGCAAACACTTTAGAAACTAGACTGTTGAAGAGGAAACTCAATGCATCAATGGCTGGAAAAGCTGTCCCTGAAACTAAACTGAGTCCAGCTGTAGTTTCTAATCAGTCTAACTGAACATGGTTCTACAGTGAGCTGAGAACAGCAGAACCTTCTCAGTTCTGGACCTCTGAACTGTGTCTATCTATGTCTGCATCATGGCTCCACATGGAGAAGACCTGAACAGAGGAGGAGAAACATCTGACTGAGAGACTGGACAAAGATGGAAAAGGATCCAGAAGATCAGTGAGCAGCTAGAACCCAGTGCAGCCCAGTGTGAGCAGGAACCAGGAGGTCCAGAAGGAGCCACAGCAGCACTGATCAGGGCTGCAGTGGTCGTCCTCCTACAACGACTCCACGGACAGTCAACTACTGTCACTATGGAGCTGTGGACACCAGACAAAGGCAGCTGCTTCAGACTTGGCACAGGGCTGATCAATGGAGACCAGAGTTAGTGTGAAGCTCACACAGTGTGAAGGACACTTCAGAACATCAGCCTCTATGGACGGAGCACCAGAACTAAACCTGGCTGCTGCTCACAGCTAAACTTCCACATCAAAGTTCACCAGAGAACATGAACAGAAGCCTGATGGATGCTGGAGAACATCCTCTGCTCAGATGGAGATCAATGTGTTGGGCTCACATGGAGTCCAGATGTTTGGTGTGAACCTGACCAGGACCACCACAGTGGATCATGGTCCTGACAGTGAAGCACGGAGGTGGCAGCATCATGATGTGGGGCTGCATGAGGGCAGAAGGTGTTGGGAACAAACAGAATAAAACAACAGCAACAGTCAGTCGGTGATGATAAAAGAAAAAATGTGATTAAAACAGATTCTGGCACAATAAGAATCTTCTCTCTGATAATGAACAGAACAAGATATCAGCATTAATTGTAGGAAATCAAATGCTTTAATTACATTTATGTCTTAACAGTACAGTGTGTGTGAATCACAAGCGTCTTCTTAGTAAATGGTGCTGCTTGGATTTATCAGATTAATAAACCCAACAAATCCGATGCCTCCCTGACATCTGGATCTGACTGTACACGTGGTGAATAATATATAGGATACTTACTCCACACTGGTAGGAGGTTTCTAGCCACACAAACAGACACTAAAGTTGGCCTGAGTTCCACAGATTGGAGTGTTTGTGTTTAACGGAGAAGTCACAGCGTTCCACTGCAACCTCGTCTGTCTAGTTGTAAGAGACCTTCACCGGTTTACACACCACACACTATCACACAACACAGTCGACATGTCCGCTGCTTTGAAACGCACAAACTTCAACCGGACCCCTAATAACTACAGACCCCCACTGAGCTCTCTTCACATGCACTAGTAGCGGAGCTGTGGGACGACCGAACAGCTCCCCTAGAAAACCGTCCGAGTGATGAACGTCCACAATGTTTCACGAGGAACCGAAAGTTACACAACGATACGAATAACCGGTAGAGTAATAAATTAGTGTCAATGCTCTGAGCTGTACTTTGCAAAAGGTGAAGCCTGTGAGGTGACGTTTGCTGTAGTTTAGTGCAGGTCATTTACAAAAAGGAGGTTTGTGCAGCCCTCAGTGGGACGACGGAGGAACGCAGCAGTGTTGTGGATTAAACTGGACTGAGACCAGTATTGACGGTCGTATTATTATAATTATTATTATAGTTATTGTTATGAAGCAAACACATGGAATATCGTCAACGTTTCTCTGGCTAAGTAAACTACAAACCTGTTGCCAGAGAGTCATGATTGTGTCCTTATCTGAGTTCTCTCTAGAGGGAAAACAGAACCGATGCTTCTCTCACAAAACCTGCATTAAGGCAATTAAAAACAGTGACAATATAATAACATATAAAAGTAACAGCAACAGTTTAAACATCAAATGACGAAGATTTCTTTAACATAATTCTATAAAAATCTATGGAGTGCAGCATAAGATTAACAAAGTGATTGAAAGCTACCGTACTTTTGGGATTGTGTCAAAACCGCTTACAAATAAAGTGATAAAAGTTCAGAGATTATTTAGCTGAAACAATCAGAAAACGGGGACAGGAAAGGAAAACGAGTGCGTCTCTACAAAATAAAAGGCTGAAACCTGAATGAGCAAAGATGGATCGACTCATTGACAAACTGTAAAAAGCCTCCAGACATAAAGACGACCTTCCAGCTTGTGTTTTCCCTTTCAGTCTGCAGCAGACGTCCTCAACACTGTCCATCTGTTGCACGTTTAACGGACGCTGAGATCGTAAAATAGTTTCTCAGTCTCTGTTGTCTTTTTTCTGGACCTCCTCAGTGTCTGAACCTGTAGGAAATAGGCAGCAGCAGGTTGTTCTTCTTCAGAGCCTGAACTCTGCTGAGCGTTTCCTCGTCCAGTGCCGTGTAGCAGCGCCGGGCGTAGTCCAGCAGCTTCTCCTTGGACGGGTCGAACTCGCCCACCTCGGCCACCTTCTCCGGAGCCACCAGCAGCAGCTCGGCGATGGGCGTCGTGGACGCCACCGTGTTGCGGTCGACGCCGTGGATCTGGAAGGCTTTGGACATGTTTTTGAGGCGCTGGTACGTGAGCAGGATCTTCTTGTAGCGGAACAGAACTCCGGCAGCGTCTTTAACTGGAATAAAAGCACAGAAGAGTAAGACGGAGCAACCTCAGGAGACACTCGATGTATCTGCAGGACGGTGTTCCTGACTTCACCTCGTTGCCGCTCTCGTGGAGCTCTGAAGACCCGCCGTCTCTTTAGCTGGTGGCTGTTGATAGTGTCTGCCATGACGTCCTCCCCTGATATCATCTCCTCCTCCTCCATGTAGCCGTCCTGCTCCAGGTACTCGTCAGATTCTCCCAGAAGTGAGAGCGAATCTGATAAGACGAAAATGATCTACTTAGCGAAACCACACCGATTAGAGACACGAGTACAGGACGGTGGTTTCATTCATTAAACTCATCGGTGGATTTAAAAAGCATGGCTTACTTTTAATGACACCGTTTATTATAAACAGAAACTGTAAAAACAGAAAGAATCTCCAGGATTCCCACTTTGCGACAGTCCCTGAACAAACTATGTGGCTCCATCAGAAAAATGAACTAAAATTAAGATTAAAGTCGTGAGCTTTCATCAAATGACATTATTCAACAGAGCTCATAAAAGACAAGCACAGAAGTGATTTAAAATGATGATGTTTAGTCAACTTTTTTTCCCAGTGGTTGATTACAGGTTTTTAAAATTGTAATTTTCTTTTTTTCAGATTTCTGTGATTCTAACTGTGTCATATAAAATGGACTAGAAACAGAAATGGAAAATGAAAATGGTTAGACGTCTATAATATGTGAAGCCAACAGGACAGAAAAGGAAAACAAATGTCCCAGAGAGACATTAAATGACAAAAGCAAGGCAGAAAACAACAAAAATGAGACACAAAATAAGAATAACAGGAAAAAACTGTCACAAGGAGACACAAAATGGTGAAAACGAGACACAAACCAAGAAAAACGAGACAGAAAATGAGGAAAAAAGTGACACAAAACAACAAAAAGGAGCCACAAAGTGACCACAATAAGACAAAACAGTGACAAAGAGACACAAAATGGTGAAAATGAGACACACAACGCACCCAAGACAAGAAAAACGAGACAGAAAATGAGGAAAAAAGTGGCGCACAACAACAATATGGAGACACAACCAGACCAAACTGTCCCAAAGACACAAAATGACCATAAATAGGCAAAAAACTACAGAAAGGAGATAAAACTGTCTGTCAGAATCTGTCGAGGCTGTAAATATATAAATGGTTAAATATCTACAGTATGTGGAGCCTCCATTGTTTTCCACTGTTGGTAGCATCTGTGGAGACTAAGAGATTCAGCTTTGGTTTTTTAAAATGATTTCCATCATTCTGTGTCCTGCTGACAGAAGGCATCTCTGAGTGTCTCCTTCTTTATTGTTCTGGTTCCACAGAGCTGCAGGACTTTATGTTGCAGAGAAACATGAACTCCAGTAAAGAAACATGACGCTGACGTCAGCTTCTCTCCCGTCCGACCCGTCCTACCTGCACCTACGTTGCCGTGTCCACTCATCTCGCTCATGCTGGACCTCGCCGCGCTGCCGCCGCTGCTGCCGTTGCTGCCGCTGGCGGCGCTGCTGGACGTGCCGTGGCCGTGGCCCTGCAGCAGAGCCTGCGACTGCGACGAGCTGAACAGGGCGTTCATGGAGGCCAGCTGATTGGTCAACGGGCCTGACACGTGGTTTTTTGAAGGCACCATGGTGGGAGGACCGGGCCTTCGCTGGAACAGCTGGCGGGTGGGGAAATGCTGCGAGTCCGTCTTCTGTTGTTCTGTGAAGAAAGTCGGAAGAATCAGCGTCGTGAAGAACAGCAGACTGACTCAGACACATCAGGAACATCTGCTCAATACATTTCACTGCATGTCACACTGTGTATAATTGTGTTTGGGACAAATAAAGGTCTTGAATCTTGAATCTTTTCAATGATTCTACAAGAGAAATCTGTCTGAGACACAGTCTACTCTGATTTAAGGGATTCGAGTTTGTCGAGCTGCAGCAACATGAGAAGGAACAGAAGAGAAACTCTGAAAGGGAAGATTTGGCTGCAAAGCAGTCAGTTGTAGGGAAATATATCAGTGACAGGAACAGTGATATTTAATTAAAAACCAGGTTCTCTGTCTTCAGCTGTTGTATATTTAAAATTTTATATGAAGATGCACAAAATTACCTCAGTCATTGTAGAATGACTCATTCTCTCAAAACAGTTATTTAAGTAATTTGCTGAGAATTCCTGGATTTTTTTCAATATTCAGTGTCAGTTTTGGGCTGCAGGTGTCTGAATGAATCCTTGTTTTTACCAGCAGGACGATCTTCTTCTCTTCGCGACCTCCAGTTAAATCGTCTCGATTCGTATCCTACACAATGACAAAAACCAGGAGATGGGAGTCAGTTTTTATATCCTCAAAGATCTGCTTTGAAAAGTCAGGCTGAAATATATTTTTTCTGACAGATTTTTACAATTTGAAGTTGAGCTTCATTTCAATATTAACTGATTTTAAACACAATGCAGTGTTAACACATCAGACATCCTCAGTAATGTGGCGTTCTGCCACAGAATATGTGAAACTATTGACATGCAGGTCAAACGTGTACGACGTGTTTCTGCTAAATGAGCTGATGTCGGTCGAACCAGTGTTTTACTCAATTTGTAAGAATTTTGCTGTTTGATGCCCAGTTTAAAAGTTATCTTGCTTAGTTTTTACATAAATGTAATTTAGCTTCTTTCATTAGAATGTTGTTTGTGTCATATCAAGAAATTTGTGCCTAATTTAGTGAAGAAATTTGTAAGAAAATAAATAGACTGTATTTTTAGTGTTTCTATTATAATTGATCATTAGCATCATAATTAAATCCTGTATAATTGATGACAGCACACTACAGTAGAATATGATATATTATAATACTGACTAAACTTTCCGAACAATAAACTATATTTATGCTGAATTATGCTGAAACACTGATCAGCAGCATAAAGACGCCGTGAACGCTTCAAAGTAAAACTGAATCACAGCATCAGTGTCGTTATTTAACAGCCACACTTTGTTTATAACTTTGTGATTTGCTGATTTAGACTTGAAACTGATTTATTGAAGCTCTACTCGACCGGGTGATGGAGCGATTCATCCTCACCGTTGCTGTACTGGCTCTGGTTCTGCTCCTGGCCCTGGCTCTTGGTGGAGAAGATGAAGCGGTCCAGCTGGCAGCGGAGGAAGTCCCTCTCCTCCTCCAGGTCCTCGATTCTCTTCTGCAGCCATGAGTTCTTCTCCACTGAGATCTGAAGCTGCGTCCTCAGGTTGGTCATCACCATGTAGGAGCTGTTGACCGGGGACGGACCGGCGGAGGAGGCCGGTTCTGAGGAGGACAGCGTGGGAGATGATCAGCAAACGTACCGTGAACAGACAAACGAGATTAAAAACGCTGACTCTGACATTCACCGTCAAAACTCTGATCGCTCTGGTTAAAGAATCCCTGCTGCTCAAAGTTGTTCTCCTCGTAGGGGATGGAGATTTCATAGGTGTCCTCGTTTTTTGGAGCTGGGAGAAGAAAATGTGCACATTGATGTGAGATATAACAGAGGACCTGAAGGCAGCACAGAGAAATGTAGTGATTCAGGAGTTTTTATTTGTCACATGCACAGTTCCTCAGCACTCAATGAGGAGGGTCTGGGCTCTTACTCTGCAGGTGGAGTGAAGCTGAGTGGCTCTTGGATGTGGAAGCAGCATCAGTCCTGTTTCCGTCCTCCATCTCAGATCTCAGGTGAGCTTTGCGGAAAAGTCATCAGCTGTGACCTGCAGGGACATTTTACACTCTGTCACACACGGATTCAAAACTCACACAGTGGCCACGTTGTGCTTTAATGAAACCGCAGGAAAAAAACCCCAAACCAAAGCTAATCTCACTGTGTGATAAAGTTAAAGTGGCTCCTCGGATAGAAGTTTGCGGCGGCCTCGCAGCAGCCCTGTTAGCTGCTCCGTTAGCCGCATGTCATGTTAGCACACATTTAGCTTCAATATTAAACTAAAATCCTTCTTTTCGTCTCTCTGCGGTTCAATTCTGCCGCTCAGACGCCGCCTAAGTCTCCAGTTTACAGCGTACTGGGCACAAATCGGTACGTACCACCGGTAATAACCGAGTCCCTCACATGTAATAAGACGTTATTACTCAGTCATATCTCCATCTCAGAGGTTAGCCTGCGAGCTAACAAGCTAACAATAACAATTATCAACGCGCTCTGACCTCACTTCCGCATATGTAATAGAATCAGTGACGTCACCGGCAGAAAAAATAAAAAGTTTTTTATTTATTGGGGGGATTTTTAAAATGTCTACATATATAAACAATATACATCAAATATATGTTAAAATAAAATCTGTGTGAAACAAACTTGAAGGGAGTAATGAATAAAACACCAAACTGTTTGTTTTTACTGATTGAAACAGCTTTTAACTTCTATAACAGAGTTTATTGGCCTGTTAAAAGCTGAATGCAGCTGCTGTTGTGTGACTGAAAAACTCTGGATACATCAAAATGAGTGTGCTTTAATTCAGGAAGGTTTTACTTTACTGATTAGGGTGAACTGGGTGACAGAAGAACAATATTAATATGTTGATAAAAAAGATGGCGCGCCGTCACTGAAGTGTCTCAGTCACCGACAGCAACGGGCCCAGACAGACGCAGCCGTCAGGCCGACTGCCACACCTGCAGTCTTCCAGCCAAACATTTGGCTGCTTTGTTTCCACAGAGAATCCTGAGCGTTGCCCTCTGAGGTCTGTCCAAGTTTCATCTTCAGCTCCTCCAACTCCTTGTGGAGGCGCTGCGCCCTCTCAGAAGAAGCCTGCTCCATCAGTGCCATGTGCTCCTGATGACGCTGCTGGAAGTCCTGAAGCATCTCCTGTCTGATGGCCTCCTGATGTCTGATGTCCTCCAGCCCAGCCTTCAGACATCGGACCTGCTCTGAGTGGTTCATGATGCATTCTGACATGTCCTCCTGATGTCGCTGCTGGATGGTCTTCAGCCTCTCCTGGTGTGACACATTCAACGTCTCATTCTGGCTTTTCTCATCAACCAACTGTTGTTTCACGTTGTCCAGTTGTTCAGTGAGTTTTGCTGTCTGAGCTTTGTCCTTGATGTGCATGTTCTTTTCTCTTTCAAGCAAATCCTTTAGCTCCTGTATCTGCAGCCTCTCGATGGCGAGCTCGTTTCTTGCGTCTTTGACTTGACTGGTTAAACGTGGAGCTGGTTTGTCAGCTCCTGTGCTGTGGCTGTCTCATTGCGGAGCTCGGTGCTGAAATGCTCCACTTTGTTGGTCAGCACTTGCATTTGGTCGGCCTGCTGACGTACCAACCTCCTGTGATGGTGAAGCCATTGGTTTAAACTCATGGCCCTTTCCCACATGTTCTCCCCCACTTTCCTGTCTCTCTCTCTCACTGCAC